TGTCATAAAGACAGCTGCATCCTTCTTGCAGCACAGTATGAGACAAAAATCTTAAAAATGTGAACTATTCACCATATGAGGAAACAGTTACCTAGCACTAATATTGTTGTATAAGTTCAAATAAAAACCTTTCAGCTGATTGACATGAAAAAAAGCGGTCTTGGTCCACAAATGTCTAACAAATTTAGCGTTTTGTAGGAGATTCAATCCATAATAATAAAACACAAAAATGTAAGCAAAGCTCAGGATCATGTATAAGTCATTTTCTACTATCATCTGGTCTGTAGGGTTTTAATATGTAACAGTACCATCAAATATTCATGGTTCACACTGCTACAAATCAGATTTCCTGTCTTGTGTGAAAAGTCCAGGATTCACATGCATTGTGCGTAAGCTGCTTACACGCTATTGTCAGTCCTAAAAGTTGTGAAGACTTGCTTGCAGCCATTAGAGTCTTTTTAACATAGTTCTTGACATTCTGGGTTTTTTTTTCCTTTCAGAAATAGATTCTATGCTGTGTCTATTTCTGGGCATGTTGTAGGCTGGGAAGCCTCCTCAGCACAGGATAAAGTGGGCTAGGTTTACTGGGGCAGAAAATGCTGGAGTGTGACTCAATCCAGTGCCTCCACACAACCAGTCTCTGAAATATGCCTCTGTCGCATTCAGTGTGCTCAGTACCTTTCAAACATGCACTCATTCTGCTGAAAGAGGCTTGTGCAGCATAGGGGAGATAAGGATAAGGTTAGAGCAACGCAAGTCGTATGCATATTTGTATTTTCAAGACCGTGTTTATGTATTTAAATTTAAACTTTTCTCATTCACTGCCCTGATTTTTAAAGCTACTAGCTCTGTTTTTTTACTGTAAAATCAGTGAAACTCAATGTGCAGTTTTTCACCTATAGAACAACATACCATTGTCAGTTTTCACATGGTTTGCTTTTTTATTGTAAAATAAAAAAGCAAACCATGTTGGAGAAAAAGGTTTCAATGTTTAAATGCCTTTGGTTGCACAATACAACACAACAAATCAACAATGCATCCATTTGTAGGTAATGCGGGACACTTCCTGCTTTCGGTAGAAAACAAGTCCTACTGTGAAAACAGCAAGTGGCCATAAAACTGATTAACGGTGCACAACTAACTTGATGGAAAAATATCTTAAACATTTTTATATCACATGGTAATTCGACCAAAATGAATCCTGACCAAGCTTGATCTTTGTCAAGGTTTGCATCTGCTGTGGCATACCATTAAAGGCTGACCAGACAAATACTCAATCTGTCACAGTTCACTTGATGTGATCAGAATGTGAAGCAAAATGAAAGCAAAATAAAAAATAAAAAAACAAATAGAAAAATATCATAGAAATTCTAAACAAATATTTAATGAATGAGACAAGAACTGTTTTTATTAGCTGTGCACCTTTGCTAATGAAAAGAAGTATTAGTAGGTATATTTTTAAACTTTGTATGAACTTGTCTTTTAAAATCCCAAAGAAGGATGACGTGAAATGGAAGAGTGCACCTGTGGCCATCTCTTTGCATGGCTTTGTAAAAAAAAAAAAAAAACAGTCTCACACATGCACCCGATGACACTCATATTGCACAGCACCATTCACCAGTAATCAGGAGTGACAGATCTGGGATGCAGGGTGACACAGCAAACTTCAAATTACAAAGAGCACCGCAGAGAATGACTAAGCAGAATCTTTTTCATCCCCACATGCTGTCCTACAACCTATAAGGCAAACAAAGATGGCATAACAATTTAAAAACTGGAAAAAATATATAGAATAACAGCTGATAGTAGAGCAGATTTATTTCTTCATCTTAGAAAAATGTTTGCCAAAGATACTGTCTACAGTATTCCGCCCAATGGGTCTCATAAAGCTTTTCTATGTCAAGTTTGCAAGAGTAGCATTTTTAGCACCAGCATTTCCATTTTGAAGACCGACAGTAAACCTTTTCACAGTTGGACGTGAACAGGTGCTTAAGAGGATTTATCAACATGTCTTGAGTCGATACAATCTTCAAGCATCTATGTGTGTGTGAGCCATGTGGTTGGGTGTGTGCAAGCTGAAATCACTTGGAAGACGTCCCAAGAATTTGATTAACACACATCCCTACTTTCCACACCAGGTGGACATCACGATCAATCAGACTCTTAAAGATCTGCGCTCTCCTCTCTTGCTGAAAATTAGATTTAAGGGGGAAAAGTGCCCAAGGAGCTTTTAGTATGAATCACAATCAGAGAAGCTTGTTGAGGCGATAACACGGCTGACATGCACTGCATGAGCTGCTGTGGTGGTCACAGTTCTCATGTTCTCAGACCTGTTTGGATTACTGGGACAGTCGGCTTTCAGGAGGAATCTGGTGACGGCAAACAATGGAAATACATCTCAGACCTCGACTTCTTCAGCATGATTGAACCCAAGGCGTTGAATCCAGTAAGATCATTTTAAGCTAATGCAAGTTGATACAGGGTAGTTGTTTTATGTGTACAAATAACATGAGGTGATGACGATCAAGTGTGGATTCCTGATGCTAAACGTTCAGCTGTATCAAAAATATCTAACAGCAAGTAAGCAATTTTTCAATCACAACTGTGCCAACACAGTTGACACATTATTAATATAAATTGTTTGGTCCGAGGATTTCAGCTCATGATTGTGAAGTGGAAGAAAAAAATAGATTCATGGTTAAAACGAGTGTACAGTTGTATCTTTTACTCTGATATAAGAGTGTAAAGAAGAAGGTTGCTGTCATAAAAATTTTTCCTTTTGCATTTTGCCCCAAGCCGTATAGGAGATCCAACAAATAATGAAAGAACCACCTGTAGTCAGCGGGATGCAAAAAATTAAGCTTTTTGGCTAATATAGAAAACAGCATAATTTGCTATGTGAAGTACTTAAGACCATCCCCAATAGACAAAAATATGCTGGGAGCAACTAACAACTAACATTGCTGAAGAGACACTTCTTTTTGGCAACGTCAGGGAAGCTATTCAGAGTAGTGGGACGTTAAATCGATACGAATCCTGTGAGAACATTAGAGGTTTCAAAAAAGACATATGAGGCTCACCTTCCACACTTCAGACTTTTATCTGTGTTGTCCATGTTTGCTGTACTTTGTGATGGTTAATTACATGAAGAGTTGCAAGGTGACAGTACCAATAGTTTTACAAGGATTCTCATTTATTCTGCATTAATATACGGCCACACAAATGCAGTTTAAGTATTTTGTAATTCAAGCTGCCTCTAAAATAATCGGGCTCATTTTTCATTTCCACTTTCTTTCCCTATCACCATATAAACTGTTTGGATTACAGACAGAAATCTGGGTTAACCCTCACCACTCCAACACAGGAGTCACACTGGGACATGCTGTCCTATCTTGGAGCTCTGTTGGGGGTTAAGCTCTTCACTACGGTTGGGATAAGCTACCTGCGGCTCCCAGTGCTCCTGTCTGCTTTCATGATCCACACTCTGTCCCCCGTACAAGTCTTAGTGGCCGCATACTGTCCATCTTCACGACGTAAAACACGGTATTAACAATGCATGGGCAACGTGCTTATGAGAATTAGAGGGATATTTCCCAGTGGTTAATGGCTGGTTGTTACATATTCACACAGCAGGCAGCAATAAGAGCAACATAAGGAAGACGGGAAAGCCTCCTGAGGGCAACAATAAACTAATGGATGTATTCTCGTTAACACCAAATGGTGTGCGTTACAGTGTCAGTGTGTACATGCGTGTCCTAAAGGGTGCAGTGAATCATGGCTGCGCAGAAGCTTCTTGATACACCTCTCTGCTCTGAGTGCCAAGAACTGATCTGAGGACTGATGAGTGGCTGTTGACCTCACAGCTGTAAGGGGTGGGAGACCAAAGGTCGCTGCCAGATAAGGCCTGTGCTGGGAAAAGAATAAGGTTGACATGAGATGAAACAGAAGGAGCAGACTGAAGGAGTTTTTTTTTTTTTAAATGTTAAACTAGGAATGCAATGAATAATATGTTAGCTGTTAGTCACTACCTTTTCTGTACATGTTTTGTTGCTTTTGTTGCTACAGGAAATGCTGAAGTATATATATAAAAAAAAAACCTTTTGGGTTTCTGGTAGGGGTAGCAGAGTCCCTAAAAATTTTGTAATTGGGAAAAATAGTTTCCCTTTGCAGTGATTCAATACTTTGTGTTTATTTACTGCATAAAATACAGTGAACAATATTTAAGCTCAGACTTGTACATCACAAAATGTGAAAATGTGGTATGAATCATATTTTAAGTCACTATGCAATGAAAATCAGAGAATCCATTTTCTGATTTTCCCTCAGCACTCTGAATTGTTGGTATCTTGCATGCATGCAGTCACTCAGTTCCTCTCTCTTTACTCTCATATCCTGTTTTCTGCTTCAGCCCAGCTAGACTTCGGCCAGTCTGTTTCTTCCCCTTTGTATGTCATGTTAGTTGAGAGGGGGGGTCACATTCCACCAGCACTTTCCAGAAAAACAAAAACAAGCCCTCTCTATAGACGTCCTGTCAACATCCTTCGTCCCCCTGCTTCCTTCTTCTTCCCCTTCTTCTTCTTGCCTGCCATTTAGCCAAAGCCCCTCCGTAGTGCATCATCATCCTCTTTGCCTAGCACTCTTCTTTCTCCCAATCGCTCCTCTACTCCACATGCCCTGTCTAGCACCCCTTTCCCTGTCCCTCCCTGCTACTGTTACATAAGCTTCCAGTCATCGATTCAGGCCATATCGCTTTTGTTCTCTCTGTATTGGTGTGTTTGTGGGAGCCTCAGCAACCAGGGCCAAGCCTTAATGAGCCTGCCACAAAGGCCCATTGATGAGGGGCCCAGTGTTGGAGAGGATGACCCCAGCCAAGAGAACCCAGAACTGTGCATGAGCTGCCTCAGGCTCACCCTCAAAACAAAGAAGTGCACTGTGGACAGAGACCCGAAAAAGGCAAAGGGACATGAGGGAGACAGATAGAAGGAAAGAGGGGTGGGCATAACTGTGTAAGCAAGTCAAAAAATGTAAGACTAAAAGATGTTGGGAAAAAAACCTAATGAGACACGTGACTTCAGGAAGTTGCTTCTCAGAATATTCCTTTCCCTCCGTTATCTATGCTCTTCCATCAGTCTCGTTCCACCGTGCATCCTAACAGGAACAGAGAGATCTGCCCTTTCTCTGCCAGGAACATGTGCGTGTCTTCATCTCAGTCATGGATCACAGATCAGATTTAGAAGTTTAAAAAGTAACCTAGGTTGACTTCTTTCTTCATCGTTACTCGTAAGTTGTTCAGGAAGCGGACCAAGCATTGTGACGGGAACCCTCACCCAGCTTTGGAGCGCCGACCGAAACACAGCCAGGTCCTGGAGCCAACATTGCAGGAGACAGATATGTTTCGCTGATTGCATTTGGTTTGGAGCAGCTGCATTTGGGAATCTGTCCTGGAGCAGAGAAAGAAAGAAAGCAGAGATAGTTAGAAGCCGACATGGCACAATTCTTTGGAGAAATTGAATTTTGTGACTGAAATAGTTTAACATTTAGGATTAATTTCAAGCTCAAATTTTTAGTTTTTTAGCAAAAGAGTGATAGGTCAGACAGTTCTTTGAAGTTGAAAGGAGAGCTTTTTGCAAAATCAGCTGCTAAAACGGTACAAAGATGACTCTAGCAGCTCGTCTCGAAGACCTAGAAGTGACCCTGGAACACATGCTGTTGGACGTTTTTGTAAGTTAACCCTCGTTTCCTTTTAACGTCCTTTACTGTTTTATTAACTTTGAACAAGTGATATTAGATTAAATTTGCCATCCTTCCTCCAGCTTCTCTCTGTACTTCATCAGTATAATCTCTCCAGCTCCTAATTGTAACTAGAGACCAGAGGCCAACATATGTTCGTGCCTCATCCAGATGTTTGCTCAATAATTGGCATGGAAGAAAAAAAAAAATTCAGATGGTTAATCATGCAGCTCCTGTGCATAAGAAGGAGATCTGGGGTGAAACCAGCAATCCAGCCTGCAACGAATGTCCTAACGAACACATGACTCAGCATATGATTGGTCCTGCAAGTTCAAAACTGTGTGAGGAAATATGAAATTTATGATAAAAGATCAATGAAATTGAATGTGAGAGTCATGGTTAGAGGGAGATTGTTCTTTCCCCGGAGCTTCCTGAAACATTTGGGCGCGCCAAGTGCACCTTCCCACCCCTTCATATCCAGAAACATATGTTTGTAGAACCTTGCGTGGTTTACCTCTGCTCAGGCACATTTGCGGGCTTGGTACCAGCAGAGCCCCTGCTCGCTTTGATGTACCCGGCTGCTGTAATGAGTTTGGTCATTAAGCTGCTGTTTCCCTTTAACATTGTTTACAGGGACCGGCATCTGTTGGAAGCAACCGTAATCTACCCTTATTCCTCAGATATGCTGAGCCTCTGGTGCGCATTAGCAAGCATTCAATCCTCTGCTGCAGGGGACTGAAATCTCACCGTTTCATGTATGCATATATAAGTACATATCTGATGCTCCAATCCATCAACCTATTTTGGAGATTTGGCCATTTTCTCACATTTAACAGGCGATTTACGACCACGGCGATAAAGATTAGTTAGCATTTACAGGCCACAACTGGATTTGGATTATTCGTGCTTTGCTTGTGACATGGAAAGAACAGAAAATGCTTCCTTTTTTCTGCTTTTCCTCTCCACTAATTAGATTGCTTATTTATTTATTTGTTTTAATTGTTGAAAAAGGCTGGAAAACAGATGCTTATCTGCCCACTTTGCATACTTAAATTAGAAATATTCAAATTTCACGTAACCTTTCCAGTCTGGTGGATGAACATACACGCATATGGCAGACACACACACACACACACACACACACACACACACACACACACACACACGCATACACACACGGATGAAGAGATGAGCTCATTTTACTGAACCATCAAATTAAGGCAGGGAAAATTAACAACCATTATGGGAAAGCTTACCAGCAGACCATTTCTTGATGCAGACATCTAATTTTCATGAAAATGTTAACATTTTAGGGAGTTTTAAGGCACAATTACCCTTCCCCCAATATGTACTGTATGTACAGTGGGAGAAAAAAAAATCAGATTAGAGTATCTGTGACTCTAACTGTGTGAAACCGAGGAATATTAAGGGCCATTAGAATAATGACAGCGATTCTCCATCCTCCAGCAGAGAGGAACCCCCAAAGCCCTACATCTCTGCTCCTGCTGCTCATTGGCTCAGAGCAGCAGCAGCAGCAGCAGCACATGGCTATATCCAAGGGTGCACAGCAATTTTCATTAGCACACCATTGCATATGAATGATTCAGGAGAGCTGAGGTCGAGAGCAAAAGAATTTCTTTTGCAGCAAGAAAAGCGAGTCACTGATATGTTGTCTCAGTAGGAATTTGTGGTAAATCCATTTTTATCTCGAGACAGACATTTTTTTATGGACTCTATTACATCCCTGTAAAATTTTAAATGCTTCACTAATGGAATACTTAAGAGAGAAAATCCATCAGCTCTGGTATGATTAAGTTATGTTTGATTGCACTGATTGAATCTATCAGTCTCATCATCTATCAAAAAATTTAAATTTCGTAACTTCAGCATCAGACTGTAGGCTGTTTCCGACATCTTCATACCAAAACATGCAAAATGTAGCATAAACATCAGATAATAATAAAAAAACTGACAGGTTTATTCAACCAAGTGAGGAAAGTCTCTTGGTGAGTCAATCAGAAGCAGGTTTGGGGCAACATGGGACATACGTTATGTTTGATACTAAAAAATGTAAAAAAAAAAAAAGAAAAAAGAAAAAGAAAAAAGAAAAAAAAGAAAAATGAAAAGTGGTTTCATGTTTTTTTTTCCTATGCTCACTTAAACCCCATAAATATTTATAGCTATACCTGATTATGTTTTTTTTTTGTTTTTTTTTTCACATTTCTAACTTGATGTCTTATTGCTGTACCAAATTTTCACACATTTAAATGTGGAAAAATACAACTTTTAATATCAACAGGGGGAGAAATGACATTAAGAAAAATGTTTTTGCTTTGAACCGACTCAAAAGTGATTTTACTGGCAGGCATTTCAATGGAATAAATGTAACTGAAGAATTTTTCATCCATCCATGGACATAGCCATTGGAAAGAACTGCTTCCCAGAGAGAAGCAGTTTTTTCCAGGTGAAAGGTCAGATCTGTGTGTTCTGTACAGCAAAGTTAAAATGAAATGGCATGTTTCAAGAAACATTATCCACCAAATGACATGAAAGCATCCTTTGACCTGAGTGAATAATGACAGTATCTGTCTCCGCTGATTGGATCATTTGTCATAAAATGCCAGTAGGTGACGTCATCTCGCCCGCTGCCAAAGCCGTTTTGTGTTGTGTTGCCGATCCGCAGAGCTGTGAGGGCACGACAAACGGAGAAACGGGGAGGTGGCACCTCCTTTTTCCGAACACGCCTCACAGTCGCGCACAAAGGCTGACAGTCACACCGGGAAATGAAGCAGCTCTATTAAAGATGCATTCATTCCGTGTGTAGTTTAATTGAATCCCCTCCTCGCACCCCCAACAAACGTTGCAGCCTCCCAGTCATCTTCCTGTACATCTCCTCTGAGATGAAGGCCTGGGGGTGGGGGGCGACTCTGAACACGGCTTCTCTCGCTCATTCCCATCCCCCTGGAAAAAGACCTCAGCTGGATGGGATTGTTGCCATCACAGCTGTACTGCTCTGCTCTTTGCCTCGCTGTTCCTTCTTTTTTCAGCGTCTCTGGAGCTTGCATCTCTGCGAGAGATTGTAAGAGCCTGTGGTGTTAAGAGACAATTCAGTATGTCAGACGTTAAAACAGTGTGGAGGTCTGAGCTGTATTTTGCAACCCATATGTGTAAAGCACTTAATTATACTGATTTTACCATACTGCTATTCATGTGGTGTAGTGGCTATTGACTTTGGGACTTGTGTAGGAAAATTAGGTTATGTAATAGATTTGTTCTGCCAATAACTATAGTGCGGCGATCCTTCGCTGCCTTTCTTTCTCACTTTCTCTGGTGACCAGTTGTCATATTTTTTAATAAATAATAATAAAATTTATTTTCCTGGCTCAAATGTCTGTGAAATAAATGTAACTCAAGCATTTGTTTATTTATTCGTTGTCCTTTTGAGCATAGTGTTTAAGAACTTTTGGCTAGAAATCCACTAATCAACATAGGAAAGACAAGAACACATGACATTTAAGTCAAGCTTATTTGAACAATATTATAAGCCTGCTGTATAAATAACAACAGGCATGCATGTAGATATATAATAGGAGAAGTTCCAGGGTTAAACCTTGGGGTACATGACTTAAAGAAGGACAATTGTGACAATATGTTGAAGGGGGAGCGTCAGAAAGAGCAGGAGCTTCTTAAAGAGACGGAAGCCAATTTTAAGGCGTCAAATTTCTTTTTGGTTATATTTGATATATGCAGCATTTTTATAACAACTGAAGGTGATATAGTAACTTGATTATGATATAAAATGGCACAATGTGCCTGGAAAATACATAATACTACCCCTTCAATGATTCTGCTTTTGTGACACCGTTCTGTGAATTAACTTGAAGTGAAAATGCGTGGTCTGTGACATGGAAACAGAGAACAGAGTAGTGAAAAACATTACCATCGTCATCTGTTTTCTCAGAATGATGTCCGTCTCTTGTTTTAAATCTGATTTTTGTTTTGTTACAAAAACATTTTGCCAGATTTGTAATCCACTTAACCGTAATTATTATCATTCTAAAAAAAGACCCAAAACATTTTTTGCCAAAAGTGATTTTTAGTTGTTTTTTTTTTTGTCTAAATTATCTTTTGACTAACTTAAATTACAATATGTGAATGCATTAAATATGATTAATTACCGTTACTTTTAATATTGAAAAGGGAGGGATGGTCATAGAATCAATCAGATTTGACTTTAGTGAAAAGAGAATAACGGTCAGCTTCATCTTTTGTTTTTTCACGTGTGCATCCAGAAACCATTTGGCTATGATCATTAATCTTTTAATTTTTATTACCTGCATAGTTTATATTCTGAAGAACTGTGTATATTCTCTATTTAACTGGCCCAACACACACAGCAGCTTTACAGTAAGCTGATATGAATAATTCAGAAGCTATGAATTCTATTCAATGGGGCAAAAGCACATCTAGCACCCCATTCAAATCTGCAGCTACCGACATAATAGACTGCTGATTTTCCCATTGGAATGATATATTCTAATTCCAATATAAGGCATAGATGGCTGCATGATTGTGGAGTGTGAGTCAAGGCCCTGTAAAACCATATCAAAGTTATAAACACAGTACATTCGGTATCAGTTCATTTTGTTGGTGCCAGTGTCTAACATGTTAATCAGCAGCAAAAATGCAAACCCTGATCCTCAGCCACACATGCGTGTCGATGTGTGGGGGAGCAGATGTGAACCGTGAGCGACAGAACTTGACCAGGACAACCTGTCCCAGAGATACAGCAAATCTCCAAAAAATAAAAAAATAAAAAATAAAAAAAATGTCCTAGATTTTTTGCAGTTAGTCACACACACGTCCCTGATTCCTCGCGGCCTATCCGCAACCGTTTCTGAGCTTGTAAATTTCTTTCTGATGCCTTCGTATGCAGATGGTGCTTCTAGGACGGTAATTGAAGTGGAAGCACCCCTGCGGAGAAGTCACAT